GGGCTTCGCCCTCGGGAATTCCGCAAACCTGCCTCGGGTTACGGGGCCATTTAATCACTAATCTCCCGAAAAGCCATGCTATTACTTATAATAATAGCATAGTTGCCCGGGTTTCTTTTGTTTCAACAGGTTCGATTACTAACTAATCGCCCGCTGTAGCGGGCGATTAGAACTAATCGCCCGTTACCAAGGGTCACACCTTTGTCTCCCTGACGACTACTTGCCTAATGGCAAGTGCCTCACGCACATAATCGTGCAAGGAACAAGCAAGGAACAGCAACAGTTAGCTCAGAGCCGTCAATAGTCTATCATCCAATCCCTGAGTTGCCGCATCATTTAAATTACGCAAGTGCAGTCTCCAATTTTATACTAATATATTTAGCGTTTTTGTTGTGGTACGTTAAATGATAGATTGCGCATGCGTAACCGATTAAAGCGTAAAAAGTGCGCATGTGTAACAAGCTTTTACATCCCACAAGCAATGAAGCAAATGTTTTAGCTTAAATACGCTGATTCCAAGTAGGGCATGTTTGTCCATTTTTAAATGGGAGCGCAACTATGCTATTACAAACTAATAGCATGGCTTTTCGGGAGATTAGTGATTAAATGACCCCTTACCCTCGGCAGGTTTGCGGAATTCCCTCGGGCTTCGCCCTCGGAAAATTCCGCAAACCTGCCTCGGGTTACGGGGCCATTTAATCACTAATCTCCCTCAAGCCATGCTATTACTTATAATAAGCGATCAATACTTTTGTCAAAACGCCGTTGGTGTTCACATGAAGTATTTATATCTCGCCTGGTGAGACGAGTTCACAATGCCTTAAGTAATTAGCGCTTGCAAAACTCGCACGCAACATAAATTTTCTTATTTTTCTTGATTTCTTTGCCAGAAAAAGCATTTTACTTGATGCTTATTTATAAAGCAAACGTAAAACTAAATAAAAGTCGTCAAATTAAACGGCCTTACCCTCAAATTAAACGGCCTTACCCTCGGCAGGTTTGCGGAATTCCCTCGGGCTTCGCCCTCAGGGATTCCGCAAACCTGCCTCGGGTTACGGGGCCATTTAATCACTAATCTCCCTCAAGCCATGCTATTACTTATAATTATGAAATAAGCAATGACTATACGGAAGTTGGAACTAACACTTCACTTGGGTTAAAAAGTAGACCGTCTGCAACGCAGACTATGGTTAATAAGTAGGTATATACTATATAGCTGTTCCTTTTTACCGTATTTGGATGCAAATTGCTCAAAAAGAAATGCTGATATATGGCTTTATGAATATCTCCGCCCACAATCTTTAATTAAACATTTTTTAACCTGGTTCATATGAATAGTTCAACACACGCCATAAGTAATTACTACAGGTTCCAAAGCAGTGTGATCGAACTGAATTGCGCCATGACCATGCATGAGACGGAAAATGGCAACAGAAAGTAATAAAAAGGTAGGAGGTGGAATTAAAAGACTTTCCATAGCATATATCAACATATATGATAAATAGATAAGAAAAATAAAAGTCTTTGTTTTGTTCCTTTGACTAAACATTATAACCGCAAATTAATCACATACTTATACTGCGGGCTATACGCAGTCAATGTTGAATAGCGAACTTAAGCAATGCATCCTTTTAACCTCAAAGCAGTTTCAATTTAGGTTTATTTTCTCCCATATCTCTATTCTCTATTTTTTCACAGTTGTTGGCTGATATACGTCATAGTCATTCAAGTGCCTTAATCAGTTAATTAATGGCGGGTTGTTTTCCAATCATGCTCATCCCTCTCAAGAAGAAAACGGCCAAAATCCATGCCTGAAGGCTGCATTCCAGTTACGCGTTTTTCATGCGTGCGTCTACGGACGGAAAAGTTTAAATCTTTCTAAATTTTATACAAATACTAATTACCTCGACAATCACACATTGAATCATACACAAAACTAAATGTCTTTTTATTTGTTCATGTTATTTCATCAGTATAGAATTTAAATGAATTTAATTAAAGTTTCGATCCTTGTGTACATGCACGCACATATAGAAAACGCTTATAACTGCATGGAAAGTTGCTTATAAGTGTTATTATATTCTTTTATAATTATACTGCATATAGACTAACATGTACATTATCACCAGTGCATGTTTTTCGGACAACTATCAAATTTTGATCATATTAAAAAGGGTTTATATAATTAAACGTTTCGGTTTGTGATGAAAACGCTTCACCGATGCAGGAATAAACCTGGACTTCAGTCTACAAACATAGTTACATAGCAAGTTTACTGCGCTCTTACCTCATTCCCTGCACGAAGTAGTTGCCCAGTGGTGCTATTGATATCTTTCAATAACTGGTCAAAAATCTGTTCACACAAAACTCCTATAATATATAATAATTTGTTTAACATCATACGCAGTGTGTGGTTTCCCATTCACCTATATATAGTTGAGCCAATAATTCACCTATTATATGTAAAAGTTAATATAGTAAGATATTGAGAAAAAATAACTATAGCTACAAATGTTACTAATGACATGTAAGTCACATATATATCAAGTGAACATAGTTTATATATCGAGGTTGCAGATTTAGCTGCGACTGGCAGCTGATGTTTACCTGTCTCGTATCTTTCCAAAAACTCTTTATAAACATCCACATTTTGGGTAATTTGTTTTTCGTTATCATGATCATCATGATCATCATCATGCTTGTCATGATCACCATCGTTTTCATCATCATCAAGATCTCCATCATGATCTTGATCATGATCATCATCATCATGCTCGTCATGATCACCATCCTCGGTATGGTCCTGCGAATGTTGTTCATTTGGTAGAAGTGCATAAACTATTATCGGAGCAAATTTTGAAAACTCCTCTTCATTGACTGATGATGTTGTTGAAATATTGAAGATCTTGAACAGTGACTCAGCTGTGACACACTAAAGGATGACATAAGTTGTTTGTGTGTTTGCTGAACGATAAATATAACTTCTCATGCGACACAACCTTTACTTATTTGGCAAAGTTATCGATCAATAAATTGCTTTTAGGTGTACATAGGCATAAATACAACGATGGTATAGTTTTGGTGAAAAACCAGATGGTTTTTTTAGTAGATGAATTTACGAACAAAAAATTAATTTTAATAAATTTAGAGGCCACTCATGCAGTCATGGGGTTTTTCGTGAAGTCAAATGCTTGATATAGATGTATACATGCAAGTAGTTTAAGCAACTGAAACAACACTCGTGACCGTTTGTTGATGTATCATTCTAGTTTAGAAATGATTTAACACAACACGTTACCAATGGCAATGCGGATTGTACAATACATCCTTGACACGCTTTGCAACTGTTTATATAAAGTTATTACTGAGTCCGCTGATATTGATAAAGGATTATCGAATTAATTTACATCAGTGTTATGCCAGCGGCTTGCCAGCTCAGTGGAACAGTCAAAAGGTTATGTTGTTCTCATATATTAATGTTTGCTACATTGACAAACTTTTGTTGTAATATATATGTTGTAATATACTGTATACATAAATGTATTAATAACGTTTAATACTGAGCAAGAATTAAGTGAGATATGAGATTTTAATACCTGAGAGTTACACAATCACGAAACTCTTATCTCAGAGCTAACATATCGTGATGGCTGCGCCAATATATTCCGATATCAACACATTTATTGAAAGACTATTGTAGTGATGCCATGCCATGTCATTTTATTTGCAATTTATTACAGGACTTACACACTTTTAATGCGCACAAAGTTAAAGATTTGCTATGCACTACATGTTACCATTTGTACCTTGTGTTTGGTAGCGTTTGAGCAATCATGTATTAGTCCAAGTTTCGTTAGAATAACGTTCACATCTTGTAGTCGCAATAACGTGTTGTTTAACTTCAGTGTTTCCAAAATACTGTGAAACGCATCTTCATGCTTGTCTGAATGCGATGGCTCGGTTGAGACATAGTTGAGAATTATTACGAGGAGCAGACACTTGACGAGGTCCATCACTACGACCGAAACAATTTACCAAATGAATTGGTACTTGAACTCATATGAATATATATGATTTCATTCCGGAAACAGAAGCACGCATCAAAAGCATGTATTCCTTCTAAGTTTGCATGGTCATCAATACTGTTGTGACTGTGTTGTATTAGTATTACTGTCTGTTTTGTCTGCGGAAATGCCCTATTTATTTCGCAAACCCTTAACCTCTAATAAAATCTTCATCATTACATGCAAGATCCTGGCGTATATGATAGAAAGCTTTGCGGAATGCCAATTCCTTAGTATTGTAACTATTGTTTGACAGTAAGCTCAAAGAAAATATAAAGAAACCACTTGTTATGCTAATGCTCTACTGCATGTATTTGATAATATCTCTCATATGAACAAATTTCAGTACAACTGGTATCAGTGGCGGAAATCTAGGTGGGGCGAGGGGGCGGCCGTCCCCCATTTCCGCCACTGACTGGTATATGAAACACATATAATGCATGCATGATCCGGCAAACGATACTCGAAATTTGTCCATTCTATAAAGGTCTGTTCAAACCAGTCAAATATGTGAGCTGCTTCAACATCATCATTATTGTTGGATGACCAATTTAAAATTCGTGATGCCATGAATACAACAAATATATAAATTATAGCCAGGCTACTGAAATTTCCCCATATTTTTCACATTTTAGTAGCTATATTAAGGTTCAAAATGGTTTGTCTGTGCGGACTGTGCCACGGCAAAGTATTCGAGGTAAATGTTGTTCGTCTTTGTTTTTCGTTTTTACTTTCGTAATGAATGATTGGAGTCGTAAAAACTACTCACATATAATTGAAATTTGTGACGCGTAGCCTATATTTCACCCGTCTAATGCGTGATATGGCCCCTGGATAATATTTAGACATTCAATCGTAGAGTGGCATGGCTGTATTCTTACGGTTGTTGACTATAATGCTCAGCTGTATTATCGCTAAACGTGGAATTATTCAGGATTTATAGTGATGCCAAAATTATCATGTGTGTTTGTCAGTGAAGATGAGGAATTGAAATAGCTGCATGTGAAAATCAGTGGAATAACATATAACTTAATGCTTTTGGTAGTATGTATATATGTACCATAGGCCTATATTGAAATATTTACAAGCGAGGGAGTTTGTAGAGAATGCCATTCACCAATTTTAACAAACGTCGAGTACATAACACAGCCGGCCCAATCTCTGAACGTCCTATATATTTTAAATATTTAACCGTTATAATATTTTAAAATAACAAAATAATTCAAAAAATATTAACAATATATGTAAAAAATATATCTCACTTGTTAATTAATAGAATCCTAGCCTAGAATCCATTTGTTGTGTTTCTGAGTCTAATTGATGCGATTGCTTTACGTTTTCGCACAGGCGGCCCAATCTCGCAAGGGTCAGTATTATAGACTTATAGTATAAATGTATATTATATTAATGTATATAATAGTAAAAATATGTCGTAAAATATAAATTTTAAAATGAAATTGACTTGCCTATTTGATAGTGTGTGTTCTCCTTTTATTCCTCCTTTGTTGGACTAATATTTTCCAAGACTTTGTACTCGATGTTACTAGTATACATGAAACATGATAAAGGCTAACGATTCCCGATCGTCGATACGACGGCACGGCACTTCGAATCGAAAATTCTCACACTCAAATCGCTTTATTCTCCAAAACAATTCGCCAGCATGTACAACAAATGCCGTTCTTCGAAAATACAGAGGTACTTCGGCGAGATGTACAAGTTTTCGACCATATTTTAACAATGGAAATCAAAACCCATTTTATATTGAACTTACCCGGACCGAAAATTACTACGGCGAACGTCTGCGCAACCAGGCCTCCTTTACCGTTGGATTTACAGGGGGGGGGAGGATGCCACTAATATATTCACGATAATATTTCGAATTAAAGTATCATATTCTACCATACTGAATTTTTTTTTTTTTTGAATTGAATTGAATTTTATTTGCCCATATGAAAAAGTTAATATTTACAATCTAAAGTATACAATAAAATATGACGGGCTAGGAGCCTTCATGAAACCCTTTCAGGCTTTTTGTTCAAAGGTCCCTAGTTCTATAATATTTTTACAATTGTTTTATATGGTAAGTTAAAGGGGAAGTCAAGTCCGTAATGTAAACAAACGGTTTGTTTACATTTTGAACTGCTGTATTTTTTAAAATTTGATGTACTGTCGGAATATCTAACAGCATTTTGATTCGCTATGCTTCTAAATGAATATGAAATAAAGTTTATGTTCAGAAAAATTCGAAACATTCGAAATTTGGGCAATTTTCACATTAGAGGTCCTCACATTGTTATGCGCAGAACCGATGCGCAGAACGGACTTGACTTCCCCTTTAATCATATAATGTCGAAAGAATATAGGAATATTTACAAATACAAGTATAAAGTAAGGAAAATTTTAAAGTAAAAGTAATATAATGAGCTAATTGAACAAAGTTTACAGATAATAACAATTAAAGTATATTTTACAAGAAAAATAATTTTGACTTTTTCTTAAAAGTACAATAAAATATAATACTGCTAATTTCATTATCGAGTGAATTCCATATCTTAACTCCCTTGTTTGTTCATACTTTCCAACAAAGAGCCGCTGTATGTTACTTCTTCCTTAAATTTCTTCAATCTCCGTCGTTTAATTTTCTGTTCTTCGACAACATCTCGAGTTTTATACAGTATCCGATCGAAGGAGTTTTTATTTTGAATATCAAATTTCAAATAATGTAAACAGTCGCTACGCGGCCGCGATTGGCTGGCTGTTACCGGAAATTTCTGCTTCCCCCCCCCCCTGTAAATCCAACGGTAAAGGAGGCCTGGTTGCGCAGACGTTCGCCGTAGTAATTTTCGGTCCGGGTAAGTTCAATATAAAATGGGTTTTGATTTCCATTGTTAAAATATGGTCGAAAACTTGTACATCTCGCCGAAATACCTCTGTATTTTCGAAGAACGGCATTTGTTGTACATGCTGGCGAATTGTTTTGGAGAATAAAGCGATTTGAGTGTGAGAATTTTCGATTCGAAGTGCCGTGCCGTCGTATCGACGATCGGGATTCGGGAATCGTTAGCCTTTATCATGTTTCATGTATACTAGTAACATCGAGTACAAAATCTTGGAAAATATTAGTCCAACAAAGGAGGAATAGAAGGAGAACACACACTATCAAATAGGCAAGTCAATTTCATTTTAAAATTTATATTTTACGACATATTTTTACTATTATATACATTAATATAATATACATTTATACTATTTAACAATTATTCGCCGAAGGCGAGGTGATTATCGGTGAATAAAAACCGAGACGAAGTCGAGGTTTTTATTCACGATAATCACCGAGCCTGAGGTGAATAATTGTTTTAGTATAATTTCATAGGTGATTATTTGGAAAAAAATAAGAAAATACACATTTCTTCGTCATTTAATTGACAAAAAGGCCTCGGCCGCCATTTTGAAAATCGCTTAGGTGATTATCGCGTAATAATCACCTCAACGGCAACCAATCAGCGTGGAGAATTTTCAATAATCACCTATGTAATTATACTAAAAGTCTATAATACTGACCCTTGCGAGATTGGGCTGCCTGTGGTTTTCGTCGTACTTGAACGGTCGTCAGTACCATAGATATAGGAGACCTAGATTGCTGACTGTAATCAAAGATTAGATACTATAAAGATGTGTCACTCTGCGAAAATTATGTCCGAGATTTTTTTATAGCCGCCATTTTGCCAGTAAGTGTCAAATTCGTCAAAATTCGTCATATAGCGCGAGCATCGCGATGGCAACCTATTGTATTCGTCTCGCCGCCATTTTGCCAGTAAGTGTTATGCACTCGTCATCTCGCGTGATCACTCGTGATCAGCACGGAAAATTACGGACACGCAAACATTAGGGAAATACGTCGAGTGACACATCTTTATAGTATCTAATCTTTGCTGTAATGTATTCTATTACGCACGCGACGCGCCAACATGAGCATTCAAAATGGCGGCTCAACCGGTCAAAAATCATAGAGCGAGATAGGGAAAAACCATGTTTTTCGCATTTTACGCCTGCCTACTGTTTCCGATCCCGTTCAACCACCTTTTTTGGGGAAGAACTAACTGGTGTGAAGGTTTTGGATGAATATTTGTACAATTTAAGTTGAATAAAGACGAAATAATCGATCGCTAAATGTTTTCTGAAAATCATCACATGGTCGGTTGAGCAGTTCGAGACGTTTTATTGCAGAAATAAAAGGTTTTGGTTCTTTGGGTGCTTTTTTCTCGAGGATCTCGGTTGGGATATATAACAGGGAATAATATTGCGAAGTATTTTGAAGTTTAAAACCTATTTTGCTTGATTTACCTGGTCTGCTGGAGCGAAAACTATGATGCTCTGTTGACAAGTGTTTTAGTGTGACTTTGATGACCTTGCTGCTGCAGATGTCAAGGGATCTCAAGTCTATATGGCCTGGACAGTGAAATGTGATGAATCAAACAGGATTTTAAAGAGAACTAGTGACAGCAAAAGTTTTCAGTGGAAACTATTTTGAAGAAACTGGCTAATTTGTCTAGTATGCATCAAAAACCTTTACAGTATATCTAGTTCTCTCCAAGAAACCTGATTGATTCATCATGGATATAAATAAAAAATAGATGGGACAGCATATTCTTTCAGCTATTTCTTAGATTGGCCTTTTATTAATTGCTTTCCCTTACTAACCCAGCAGTAAGCACTCTCCCCTTGACAAGTAAAATTATCTGGTGTTAGAGTAAAATAATAAAGTAGGGTGCAACTCAATGGGTTAACCGGACCCATGGCCAGTTAACCCATTAAGTACCAACACTCTCCCCTTGACAAGTAAAATCATCTGCCGTAATGCTGTTAGACAAAATAAAATAATAAAGTAGGGCACATCAGGGCATAATGCGACTTAATAGGTTAATATAGTTGTTGGGTGTAAGTTGTTT